GCCCCTGCGTGGGAGATCTCGGGGTATCGGAGCCCCTGCACCCCACGAAACCTTCCCTGGCCGATCTGGGCCTCTCTCAGCTCCTTTATCCTCGTGGGTGTCTGCCCACGTTGCTTTGGTGCTGTCCCGTTTGAAGCCTTTACGCTTTGTGATCCTCCCGCCACCCTCCAATATGAGACTTTCCTGCGGGATTTCTCGCTGCTTGGGTTTCTCTTTTTCATTTCTCCCATCTCTGCTGTTCAGCCAAGGGTGGGCTGTTGTAGCCCAGTGCCCCTTCGCTGTGGGCCCGCTTCCCTTGTTCTTGGTGCTGCTTTTCATGTTGCTTTCTTTTGTTCTGTCTTCTAAATCTATGTGCACAAAGGTCCACTCTTGGAGTAAATCTCTGCTCATCCAGCGTGGACTGGTGATAAAAGAAAAGCAGCACCAAGCCTAGAGATCCTTCAGGGCAGCCTCTTCTGACAGCTGGTCCCAAAATATGGATTTGAGCCCGTGGGACAGCAGCGGCTGCTCATGCCCATGTGCCAAAGGCTGAGCAACACTGATGTGTAAAACTTCATTTTACCCAGTGTTCTGCTTGCTGTGCCTGAGCATCTGTAACGGTTTTTGACTGAAAACTACTCTGCAGCTTAGCTGCTGGTTCTAGTGAGTCACTGCTGTTTGATTTTCTTGGGGGAATAGGTTCTGTTTCAGAGTTGTGAAGTTTTCTCTCAGTTGAATGATGATGCTAATCAGGAATTCTGGTGTAATAAGGAATGTTTTTCACTGACACTATTCTATGCTTTCTTACAGTGGCTGTGGTAGTTATTTTGTATATTAACTCTGAATTTAGAAATGGGCATGTATCAAATTGTGTGACTGAGAGGGTATCTTTGCATTGTCATATCACTGTTTCAGTCTTGAGCTTTTAGCAAGGTCAGATTAAAGTTACATTTGTGCTTTAATGTTTTTTTTTTTCCATGCCCTTTAGGTCAAAATATGAAACGTGAGTCTGGAAGAAAAGTCCAGACTGGAAACATCACAGCTGCTAAGGTACCATATTCTGATGTCAGACTATTTTTATTCTTTTTGTATGTGTATATATTTATATAATTAGGAGGAGAAACTTAATCTGAGGCGTATTTTGTCTGGTCTGTTGAATCCAGAGTAGAAGCAGCACAGAAAATGAATTTTTATTGTTAAAACAGTAGATGTGATGTAACTGTACGTGGAGCAGTTTAACCCACCAAAACCTCTTTCTCTGCAAAATCTGAAAGGGTGTAAGTTTTGACATCTGACTTGGATGAAGGTTTAGTGTGGTGCCAGTGATCTTACAGTCCCTGTGTTCTCACTGCCACACAATTCTAAACTTCTGCTGGGTCTCAGCACTTGTAGAGTCATTGGCTCACTTAAATTCTGCAGTGGCTTCCTGTTTCATAGGGACTTATGTTTTTTTCCAGACTTTTTGATGCCCTCCTGCATTGCCTAATTTCTTTTCTTCCTCCTAGACTATTGCTGACATTATCCGAACGTGTTTGGGACCAAGAGCTATGATGAAGGTAAGAGCTTTTGCTGAAATACTCACGCTGCGTACTGACTCGAAACACTCCGCATGCTAGAGGTCAGTGCAAATATTCCTTCTCTTTTGGTTGCAGATGCTTTTGGACCCCATGGGTGGGATTGTGATGACCAATGATGGCAATGCTATCCTCAGAGAAGTAAGTTTCTTCTAAAGGATTGTCTTACTTAACACCTGAGTCAGAATCTTTCAGGATACAGTTACGTAGCTGCCAATGGAACTGTGTTATTCCGTCTTCTCTCTTGAGAGCCAGCAAGTAGTGAACACCAGTACCAAGAAGGGTGTGTACTGGGGAGGAATTAAATATTCCCGGCAAATGCCCTTCCTCCTCAGAAAAGTACGTTTGATCTGGAGGTTTTACGAGACTGGTGTAAGTTCTACGCTAATTGTAGCTCCACTCACTTGCATCTAAACCTTATGAGTAGGTGCTTGCTCTTACCATGCCAGATAATTAGACCAAGAAGTCATTGTCGTCTTTCTGGTGCACATGCTGTTGAAATAACATCACAAAAATTGTAATGCCTGAAAAACTGGAGGAGATGCAATGTTGTGAAGTATTTTCAGTCTCAAAAAGGAAGAAAGCTCTTTGCTGTAGTTGGGCAGAATGCCTTTGATTGTTTAGAAGGTGGTGTATTTGTTCCATTGAGTGATGCAAAAAGTTTCAGCCTTAGTATTGTGGAATAAAAACACACCCCTTGCTCCTGTACAGATTCAAGTCCAGCATCCAGCTGCAAAGTCAATGATTGAGATCAGCCGTACTCAGGATGAAGAAGTTGGAGACGGGACCACATCTGTAATTATCCTTGGTAAGGGAGTGAGTAAGATGTACTTTTGTAAAGGGTTAAGGCTGAAGTTCACCCTTTTTGCTCATCAGAGCCCAGTAAGTATGCCTCAATGAGGCAGTTATTTGTTATTTAACAACCCTAAAATTGATCCTTTTTTTTTTTTTACCATGAAGAGAGTGGTCAGTTTATTAGACCCTTAGGTGATCAGCTCCATGTTTTGGAAAGTTGTGTTTTTTCCCCGAAGTAAACACATTGAAGTGTAAAGAGAGGTATAGGTGATGTTAGAGCTCTCTGGGTGGATAGCAGATATTTTTTGTCTGGTGTGCTGTTCTCCTGTCTCGGCTGTTGACTGTTACACTAGCTTATCTAGGGAATTTTGATTTTTTTTATTTTATTTTTTAAGCTGGAGAGATGCTCTCTGTTGCCGAACACTTCCTTGAACAGCAGATGCACCCAACTGTGATCATTGGAGCTTATCGGAAGGCGCTGGATGACATGATCAGTATTCTAAAGAAAATTGGGTAAGTGTGGGACTGGTGGGAGTTGGAGAGGAGGAGGATGGGGTTTCTGTTTTGCTTAAAGATGATTCTTGAGGGAGGCACGTTGGTAAAATATAACTTAATATAATTGAGGAGGGATTCAGTGGGAATTATTAATAAATTGCAGTTTGGCGTAATACTCAGTTTACAGTTTGCTTTTTCCTTTCTCTCAGCACTCCAGTGGATGTGAACAACAAAGAGATGATGCTTAAAATAATAAAGAGTGCTATAAATACGAAGGCGATAAACCGCTGGTCGGACTTGGCTTGTAGCATCGCTCTTGATGCCGTTAAGACTGTGGAGTTTGAAGAAAACGGCAGAAAGGAAATTGATATAAAAAAATATGCAAAAGTAGAAAAGGTGAGCATGTCCTGAACCCCTTCTTCTCTGTGTGCCCCTTTCTCATTCTGAACTAGTTGTTCCTAAGATGCAGTAGGAAGAATTTTGTGCTTCTGATCTGCAGTCTGCAAACATAACCCTTGAAGATGTATTTTAGTCAGTGCTATCAGCCTTGCTGGCTTACTGTGAAAACAGGGGCAGTTATTTAAACTTCTTTAGAATGTTTGTCAAAAAGAGCTTTTTACATTCTTTAGGTTTCCATCTTCTGAACATATTGCCAGGCAGTAAGATGTGAGCATCTATTCCCCAGCTTTTCACTGCATCTAAGTCAGTGTGCTCTTAAAATTAACTCGGATTGTGACATGGATGCATCACGGCTCCTCGGGAGCCTTTTGCTTTTTCAGTCCAGGGGATGGACAGTTTCAGGAGCACGGGTATTCAGGTTTGTGTAGAGCAGACTGACGTGCCTTGCTTTCTCCCTTCCCTGTGTCTGTCAGATTCCAGGTGGCTTTAGCGAAGACTCGTGTGTTTTGCGTGGAATCATGGTGAATAAAGATGTAACTCACCCCAGGATGCGTCGCCTTATTAAGAACCCGCGTATTGTCCTTCTGGATTGTTCCCTAGAGTACAAGAAAGGGGAGAGCCAGGTAAAGCAAGTCCCGTCAGGGATCTCCACGACTCTTGATTTTAGACTAGGAAGGTGGACAGATCCAGATAGCTCGTTAAAAGCTTGAGGGACAAAAAGCTCTCTTCATGCTCTGCCTTTCAGAGACCTTTTGCACATGTAAGATAATTCTGCTGTGTGAAGAGAAAAAGGCAGAAAAATTTAACAGGCTACAGTGCTTTTACTCACTGAGGCAGCTACAGTGGTTCGTGGATTTAAGTGATGGTCAAGAGCCAAAGAAATATTTCTGTGTTTGAATTAACACTAAAGTTTAACGGACGCAGTGTCGTAGTTTATTTGGTTAGTGTTTTTCATTGCGTAGTTCTGCGTGACTCTTCCCCCGGCGATATTGGAGGAGTTCCGATCGCTCCAGCCAGGGAATCTGTGTTTAAGTGGGTGAAGCGTTGGGAGGGATACAGTGAGATATTTACACCTCTTTCTGTGCAGACCGATATTGAAATAACGCGGGAAGAAGACTTTGCCCGCATCCTGCAGATGGAGGAAGAGTACATTCAGCAGATTTGTGAGGATCTGATGAGAGTCAAGCCAGATCTAGTCATCACGGAGAAAGGAATTTCTGGTAACAACACTTGTGATCCTTCTGCGGGTTAAATTAATCGTGATGAGCTTCATGCTGTGTTAAATTAAATTGTTCAGCAATTTAAAAACACCCCCCCAAAAAACTAAAACAAAACACACCAAAACTGAACACAGACACCCAAAACCAGCCGACCAAACCCCACAAACCTGCCTTCAGCATGACCCTGTTCTGGTTTGTTTTCTTTTTTTAGTTTTCTAGTAAATAGGTACACAGTGCAGGCATTGAAGTTGGTTCTTGAGGTTGCCTTGTGAACATGGATGCTGACAATAATATTTTGCTTTTTCCAGCATTTGGAAATTATGCCAAAACATAAACGAGTGTTAGCCTAGCAAAGCAGGGAACACCGTGCTGTGATTTTGACTTGCAGCTTGGTTTAAGCAGCAACATTTAGGTTTTTCTGTTCATAACCCTTGTTACTTTAAAGACACACAAAGTTTGTTGTGATACCACTGATTCATCAATAAAATTGCACAAACCTGATTTCAGACTTGGCCCAGCACTACCTGATGAAAGCCAACATCACAGCAATCCGCCGGGTGAGGAAGACGGACAACAACAGGATCGCCAGGTAAAGGCTGGAGCCCGCTCTTGCCGTCTGTGCCGTGGATTTTCATCCTTACCTCCCCCTTTCCCCCCAGCTCTCGTTCGTGAGTGTCTAACGGGAGTGTTGTTGGTGCGGTAGGGCCTGCGGAGCTCGCATTGTGAGTCGCACGGACGAGCTGCGGGAGGAGGATGTGGGAACTGGAGCCAGGCTCTTTGAAGTTAAAAAAATAGGAGATGAGTATTTTGCCTTCATCACCGATTGCAAAGACCCCAAGGCTTGCACTATCATTCTGCGCGGAGCCAGCAAGGAAATCCTGGCAGTAAGTTAGGATCTGCTTCCCCTCCTGTCCTGCCCCCACCTTCTTGATGGCGGGCATTGCTTCCTTTTTAGCAGCTGCTGCGTGCAAACGAAGCGAGCACAAGTTCCTCTGGGTTCTGGAGCAAGGAAGAATTCCTGTGTTGTGGGCTGGGCAGCAAAGGTGGAGGAACCAGCCCAGCAGAGCGGGGGCTGTGCTTGCAGCTGGCGGCGTGCTGCAGTTCCCCGCGACCCAAACTCTGCTTCCCTGCCTGTCGCAGGAGGTGGAGCGCAACCTTCAGGACGCCATGCAGGTGTGTCGCAACGTCCTCATCGACCCGCAGCTGGTGCCGGGCGGGGGAGCTACCGAAATGGCCGTTGCCCACGCGCTGACGGAGAAGTCCAAAGGCATGACGGGTGTGGAGCAGTGGCCCTACCGTGCGGTAGCCCAGGCTCTGGAAGTCATTCCCCGAACACTGATCCAGAACTGTGGCGCTAGCACCATCCGGGTGCTGACCTCGCTCAGGGTAAGGCGCGGGGCCTGGGGTCCTCTGGAGAGATCTGTGTCCTTCCGGAGCGGTGGGGCAGCTTGGGGTCGTTGCAGTCGGCTTTTACGTTAAAGGAAACCTTTGTTAAGGTTAAGGTTACCTGTCCTTTGAATCATAGAATCATTAAGGTTGGAAAAGACCTCAAGGGCTGAGTCCAACCGTCAACCCAACACCACCTTGCATTAGCTGGGTTGTAAACATTCTTTACTGTAGTTTTTGTGCCAAAATGTGAAAGCGTGAAAATGGAGTGAAATACCTTGTTTGAGATACCAGAGTTTAGAAATAAAACAACAAAACCCTGAGGGTGACCAAAATCAAAACCTTCCTTTGCAATTTGATGGGATGGCAGGAGAGGGAGTGTCTTCTATCTTCTGATGGAATTGTTTCCAGCAGTGCTCAGTAACCTGCTCTTGGATAAACTCAAAAATGGAGAAAATTCTAGGGACCTTTTGCTATTTTCCCGAGCCCAGGGGCAGTTTGAGTTTCTGGAAGGTGAATTTGCCGTCTTACTGTCGTTCTGTTTCCAGGCAAAACACACCCAAGAAGGCAGCCAGACGTGGGGAGTGAATGGTGAGACCGGAGCCTTAGCTGACATGAAGGACCTGGGGATCTGGGAGCCGTTAGCGGTCAAATTGCAGACCTACAAAACAGCCGTGGAGGTGAGGAGCGAGGGAGCAAAGCCCCCGCAGCGGGTCTGGCGGGAGAGGGGAGCGCTGGGCTGTTGGGGTGAGCACTGCACCCCAGCGTGCTGCGGGCCAGCCTCGGAGCTTGCGAACGGCGGAGGGAGGTGAGCAGTGGTGCAGCGCCCGGGGGAGCCTGTAACTGGGCTTTCAGAGGGGTTGGTTTTTGATCCTGTGGCTGAAATTTGTCGTGTTCCACTTTTTTTTGTTGCAAACTGTGCAGAGTGGTCGGTCTCGCGAGGCTGGGCTGCTCCGAGCGACCAAGGAACGCAGCGCCAGCAGCGTGCTGGCACCCAGCTGGTGGCACTGGGAGCTTCTGCCCTTTGATGGTCGCACTGGTCTCACACAAGCTGCCCTCCCCTGGTTAAAAAATGACATTTTGGGCGTTCGCTGGGTGGTGAAGGGAGGTGGGGTCCCTTTCCTGGCAGTCAGCTGGAAATAATCCCTGTTCCCTTTTCCACGGGGTGTCCCTGTGGGTGCCAGAGCCGCCGCCTGCTCCCCGCGGGTGCCGTGTCCTTTCCCCGGGGCTGTGTGGCTGTTGCTGTGCCCAGAGAATGGTTGAATCCGAGGCTGATGGTTTTTTTGGGGTGAAAGAGGGCGGGATTGGATTTGATGCTCTGGGCTTTCTCCCCAGACTGCCGTTCTCCTCCTCCGCATCGACGATATCGTTTCGGGGCACAAGAAGAAGGGCGACGATAAAAGCAAGCAGCCGTCTGCGCCCGAGGCAGCCCAGGAGTAGGAGAGGCTGAGCCGGCGCTCGGAGGAACCAGGCACCTCGCCGGGGACGGAGCTCGAGGAAGCGACTCGACCGGAGGCTGAGCTTGGAGTCTGTGGGGAGGGATGGGGAAAAAATCACGAGCGTGGGGAAAGAGCCCATGTGTCACGTAGGTGTCCCTGTGCTGGGTGGAGATAGTGGTGGTTAAGTCTCTGTACTTAAAACATGTCAAAAATAATTAAAAAAAAAAATAAGTGCCTGTCCTTGGGCTCTGTGCGCTTCAATGAGGCTCTGGGAGGTGTAACCCCAGGGCCGGGGGCTGCCAGGGAGCCCTGGGCAGGGCCAGGACCCCTTCCGCGGGGGAGCAGCGGCTCCTTTAAGAGTTACCCACGCGGCGCCTTTAAGGGGCGGTCCCTGTGGGGTCACGTGAG